TCTTTATTTCATTTCCACGTTTCAACAATATCAGGAAATACTGACGTACTTGATCCATGGCTCATAACCCATAATGACAATTCATCATGTAAGTTCAACAGTGTTTCCAAACTCATCAAATCACCTATTTAATCCTTACTCATTGATGTTACTTAGTTCGTTTGGTAAGCAAGTCTATCCCGATTACTTTAAAGTTTTCCAGAATAATTCAGACGTTTCTGAATTTCAAATACACGTTGTACTACATTTTATTTCAATTTATTCATATAATAAAGTCATTCTGGTATTCGTGGTTGATTTGACTAACGACTACCCACTTATTAGTACTGTATGCGCTCTAGAGTTGAGATGCGCCAAGTACTTCCAGAATTATCATCGATCCAAATTTGAGCAGATGAACAAACATTCAAGTGATACTTATATCATTCAGGTAATGATATAGTACTAACGTTGGTTAATCACTTAAGTTACGTTTCACAACTTTTACTGGTAGCACAACATCCATGTTTATTTGGATTTCTTAATTAATCCAAGACATTTACTTATTCTAGGTCATAAGGGCATTTTGGTCATTTTGGTGCTTAACATTTTTTTCTATTCATTTCAAAGCTTGAGCATATCCATTCATTCCTGAGCTTGGTGACATTCTTGAGTTATTTCCATTCCAGGGGTAATTTGGTCATTTTATAATTCTAGAATATTTCAATCATTTCCTTCCATCCGGTCTTATTATTTAATTCAATCTTATCATTTACTTCAGTCCTTTCGAACAATTCTGTCAGTAGAATACCTCCAATAAATTACTCTTCAAGTATTTACTCCTTATTCGAATATTTTCGGGTCAAGTGTCTTCTCAGATTTTACAAACGGAATATTATAAATTTTTCTGTACAAAGACAGGATCTTAACAATTAAATTCGTACTTAATCGAGTTAAGTACAAATCCTCAAAGTACTCTCTCATTCAGGGTCAATTCAGACTATTTTATCTCTCAATGGCATTTTCGTAATTTCTTAACCAAATAATTTCAATATTAGCACTTAACGAAAATAATTATAATTTAGAGATCCTATGATCAATTGCTTTCCCGAACATTCTTTGATTTTGAAATGATTCCTTCACAAACTCTCATAGGATTAAAACCGGTTATCCATAATTTCCAAATAAAACTAACATTTCTTATGCACATCAGTAGTTATATCGGATCAATATGTCTTTTCAGAGTTATTAACCAACTTCCAGGGGCAATTCTTATCATTTTCCAACATAAGGGTAATTTCGTAATTTTACCATATCGGAGTATTCTCATACTTTTTCATCCAAGTATCTTTAACATTTAACCCTTGATGATATAAAATATAAGTTACAAATCCAGAGCTGATTTCTTTATCACCAATCACAAACTTGTAATTTAATTCTAACAATTATCAATCTCTTATCTTAGTCATTCGATCCGTATTCAGTTACAGAATTTCTACCACATTCATATCGAGTGAATAAATTATTCAACTCCACAAAAGTGACCAACATTATCTTATTCATGTATTTACCAATATCAACATGTTCCATAAAGCATAAAGAGGTAGTAAAGTATTACCTCGATTTCCGTGCAATACCGATCGACCATAAAAAATCCATTCGAATGCCTTTGATCTTCAATTCAACTTCAAATAATTCCTCAGATACATATCAACATAAATTATATCAGAAACGGAGTTTAATTACGATAAACGGATCAAATCGGGTGATAAATCAGTGAAAGACGGCTTACCGGGTTCGAATTTGGCGAAACGGACTTCGGATTCGGATTCAGGACGTCGAAAGCATAAAATGTGACTTTTCGGAAATTTGGAATTTTCAGTCAAAATCAAAGTCAACGGGTTTGACCGGATATTTCGAGGCCTTCGGGTTCTAATTTCGAAAAACGAACAGCGGAATCGGATTTGGAACGTCGAAAAATGTCAGGATAGGTATACTCGGTCGAAGTCAAAGGTCGTTTAATGCCCGGTCAAAGCCAGTCAAAGTTTTGGTCAACAGTGGTCAACGACGGTCAACGGTCAACGGGTCGGGTCGGGTCAACGGGTCGGGTAAACGGGTCGGGTCTGGTAAACGGGTCGGGTCGGGTTGTGACCGGTCAAACCGGTCAACTATGCACCAAAACCGGTCAAACCGGTCATTTTTTTCTTCCCCACGCGCAGTGGCGGCGCGTGAACAGTGCTAAAATCCCGGAAAAATTTCTAAAAATTATTTTGAGCGATTTCGAGATACTTACAAAGCTCGGTTCACAATTTTGAACGGCGGAGAGCTCGATTTCAACAAATTGAAAACTTTGACCGCTTCACCTCCTCACGCGCCGCCGTCGACGGAGACCAAGGATGACACCGGCAAACTCGGAACGATGCAACGAACACGATGGTGCGGGAGGTGTCGTAAACAGATGACCCGATCGTCGTGAATCTATGAAAAACCAACTAAAACTGAGTTATTACCGACGATACTTCCGACTGAAATTCACGACGAACGGCGATGATTCACGACGAAAGGTTTGAGGGGTTTTGTTCCTCGATTGACAACGAACACGATGGTGGTTTCGGCTCGTCGTTTGGAGGTCGGACGGCGAGTAGATCGGAGTTGGAAGTTGGGTTGTTGGAGAAGGGAAATCTGGAAAATATGAAACCTGCGCACGGGGAGGAGCTTATAATTCATCATATATAAGAAATGGTTAAATCATGGGTTTAGCCACTGAATTTCCTGCACTTTATAAAACGGTCTGCCAACTTTAAAACTTTACAATTTAATCCCCAATGTTTCTTTCAAAATATCAATTAAATCTGCCACTTTATAATTTCTTAATTTTAGCCCCTAAATTGGGGTGTTACATCACCTGTCTCCTCTATCACGTTCGCAGATTCATGTGCGACGGTATTTTTCTTCGGTGCTCGACAATCTCTTTTAAAGTGATCATTCTTGCCGCAGTTATAACTGGTAAAATCTTTGTTTTCTCGTTTTGGATTTGGATCTGCCACGATTTGAATTTCTTTCTGAAGTTCTCCCTCTGGTCTCCGTGTGCAAGGCCGAGGAGGTTGATGCTTCACCCGATTCTCTCTGTTGAATTTCTTCGCTTAGTACCAGATCCTGGGCATCGTCGAATTTCAATTTACTATTTCCCGACAAGCTGCTAACTGCTATAATAGTAGCATTCCAACTGTCTGGTAGATATGATAAGAGAATTAAAGCTCGAACTTCATCATCAAATTCAATTTCCAAGGAACTCAACTGGGTTGTACTTGTGTTGAGTTCATTCAGGTGTTGAGCCACTGATGCCCTTTCTATCATCCGCAAATTGAATAATCGTCTCATCAAGTGCACTTTGTTTGAGGCCGATGGCTTCTCATACATACTGGAGAGAGCCGCCATAAGACCCGCCGTGGTCTTTTCCTTTGCTATGTTGAAAGCAACATTGCGGGACAACGTCAGTCGGATAACTCAGAGGGCTTGTCTGTCGAGAAGAGCCCAGTCTTCATTCTTCATGCCCTCTGGTTGCTTTCCTGAGAGATGTTGATATAGATTTTTCTGGTACAAAAAAACCTCAATTTGCATCTTCCAAAAGCTAAAGTCCGCACCATTGAACTTTTCAAATTTCACCTTCCCTTCGTCTGCAGCCATCGCTCCCACTCGAATCTGGCTGCGTTTGGATCGTTTCTGACAATTCTTGCGAACCACCGTGTATTAGAACACCTCTGTCGACACATTCGTATCGCCGACAAAATTTTACTAATCATGAATTCACTATTCACGTGAATAGTAATGAATAGTAACCTTGAAAAAAATTGACAAAAAATTCACAACCAAAAGCTCTGATTACCAGTTGTTGGAAAATAAAACTAGTACGAATAATTTCCCTATAACCATGTCTGGTGAGAATGCGAAATAAAAGCGGAAAAATAATACCCGAAATTGGATCGGTTGGGATTGTTTTATGTTTTGAAAGACAATACGTTTCCAATCTGGGGGTGTTTTCCAGACCTTATCAAGAGGGTCGTGATTAATGTTTTCATAGGCAGATGCTATCGCGTATTTTTGTTTTTTTGACATCCATGCTCTTGCCATCAGAAAAAAACTGTAGGGTGGAAATGCAATCAGCTAAAGAGTTTGTTATTCGGGGTGGACAATTAGCTGAACAAAAACCGGGTACTTTCTGGGACCAAAACACTAGGCTTACACTGATGTCTGATGCTCTGTAGATTTTTGTTCTATGGGGTTTGATATCTAGTCATAGAAACTGTTATCATGAAGTAGAATTTTTCTTCACTTGTAACTTGTCGAAATAAGACTATCAATTTGCATTGAATTTGTTTCTAGAAAATCTCTCAATGTTTTCTTGTGCATGATTCCCAAACCGTGTTAGGTTAGTTTCTGCAGCGATTAGATTGGGTCTTATTTCATGCTTCTCTCTAGGGAGAGGATTTTATATACGATATATTTATTTGGTGAAAGTTTGCTAATTGTTTTTTATTTTTTATTTATGCGTTTGTAATCAAATAAATTATAAAAGGGAACAAATTGTCTCATACACTTTGTTCATTTTGCTGCTTTATTTTCTTGGTTGTAAAGTGAAGAGTTGAATCCTATTTAGTACGAAAAGACATAGATAGACCAATGAGTTTGTCTCTACTTCCACTTTTTGCAATATTGTATGGTATTTTGATTCTTTTAATACCCGTATTTGAGATTTGTATATAAAATAACAGACTCATATCATAAATATATTTTTTATGAATAATAGAAAAATGTTAATATTATTAGAATTTAAAAAAATTAAAAGGAAATACTATATGTTAATTAAAATTTTATAAAATAAAAATTAAAAACCCTTTACGCAACCTAATGATTAAATATTTTTATTAGTAAATTTTAAGCATGGGATTAGCAAGGGGGCTTATAAATACAGGGTTCAATATCACAATTTTCATCATCTGATTCTGAATCAACCAGCAAAGCTATACCTACAGTTTCAGCCTTTCAAATCTTTTGCTCAAAGCCAAAATGGAAGTTTGTATTACTTCAAAGGAAATGGTTAAGCCATCTTCCATGCAAGTTTATAATCGGAAGCCATTCTCGTTATCATTGTTAGATCAATTCGTTCCAGCACATTATATACCACTCATCTTCTTTTACAGCAAACCCAGTGATTCCCGTTTCAACACTACTGCCCAAATATTGGTCGGATTGAAGGAATCACTGTCGGAAGCCTTGAATCACTTTTACCCTCTTTCTGGTCGGACAATCGACAACCTCCGCATCGGTTCCTTCGACAAAGGAGTGCCATATGTAGAAGCTAGGGTCAAAGGATGCTTAGCCGATTGCATTGCGCAAACGGAGCTAGAATTGTTCAATCAGTTGCTTCCATGCCAATGTTATTGCAGTGTCCTACCTTCAGCATCGCCCCAAATAGCTATCCAAATCAACATCTTCGACTGTGGTGGGATCGCCATTGCCTTTTGTGGTTCCCACAAGATCATTGATGCGGCAACTGCGTCGGCTTTCATCAAAAGTTGGGCAGCTTTCAATCGAGGCTTCGATGGCAAGATATCAAATCCCAATATGTTAGACGCAGGGTCACGGTTGTTTCCTCCGTTGGATCCGGTTCCGCCAAAATACGCATCTTTAATTGAAAGGCTTTGGTTCGAGGAAGGGTGGTATACGACGAGGAGATTCGTGTTCGATGACCAAGCAATAGCCACTCTGAAGCTCAGAGTGAAAAGCAAACGTCTCGAGCATCCAACTCGAACCGCAACTCTCGCTGCATTTCTATGGAAACACGCCATGTTGGCTTCTAGAGCAGCAAGTGGACGTTCGAAACCATCTTACTTAATTCAACCAGTGAATTTACGAACAAGAATGAAGCCAGGATTACCCAACCATGCAATAGGGAACCTGAATTGCTTGACGGTTTCAAAATATAACTCAGTCGACAGAGACATCGAGTTGCATGAGTTGGCCTATTTGGCGAGAGAAGCAATCGAGGTTTTAAACGATCAAATTCCCCTTTTGCAAAGTGGGGGCATGCTGAAATTCCAAACTGATCAGTTCAATGATGTGGAGGATGTTCACTCAAAAGATGATGTGGATTTTTTCGACTGCGTCAGTTGGTTGAACACACTTGATAAAAACGAAGTTGATTTTGGGTGGGGAGATCTAACTAGTTTGAGCATGGGGTGTCCCGAGACTCGGTACAATGCATTTGTTAGTTCTTTTATTTTAAATGAGACTGAGAAGAGTAAGGGCGTTGAAGCAGTGGTTACTTTAGATGCCAAGACAGTGGATATTTTGGAACGTGATTCTGAATTCCTCACATTTGCTTCTGCAAAATAACTATAAGCATCCGCAATAGTTTATTTTTATTAAGTTTATTGTATTTGTGTGGTTGTTGCATGGTGAATATTAAAGAAATTTCTGTTCTTTTTTTTTCTCGCTCTGTAATGTGTGATTTTTATTGAAGAAAAAAGGTCAAACAAGATCATCTTATGCTTCATTAAAAAAAACCCTTCCTTAAAAGGAAGAAAATAATACATAATGATGATCAAAGTTACAGGAGAAACACCTACCAAAAAAAACAAATCTGGGCATGTTATATATACTGCTTACACAGACCCATTGAAATCCGCCCTACCAAAAATTCAGAGCGCATCAATCTATCAACTTACCATTTAATTTCTAACATTTTGATCATATCATCATTCAAAATATTCAGTAGACTTACAACCTCTTAACCTTTGACACGCCTTTGATCACCATAATCTTTCCTTGTTTTGATCGTTCGAACAACCTTCTTACAACCAAGAGTCCTCAAATAATTTCAAGTTTTAACCTTTATACCTGTAAACTCACGAACATTTCCAAGCAAACATTAATCTCGACCAACTCCCTCCTATAATTTGCTGCAGTGCCTAAAAAAAAGAAACAACCTCCCATTGAGTCTCTACAACCTCATCTTTTCTCAACCATTCGGACCATAATCAAAGCCCCTCTAAAGCGACAAGATTCTTAATTGCAAATGAATTTCTTTAAGTTCATCCCATAATATAATTCAAACTTTACACGAACAAGGATCGAAATAGACGTCATACAACATATCAAGCCTTTCTCTCATCCATCTATCTTTTATCACCACAAAACAATTACAAACTTCCTACAGAAACAACAGACCATCCAACTTTCATGCATGCAGCTCATCCGAAAACCAAAACTTTGCAAATTGAGGTGGAGCATCCTCAAATTTTGATTTTCTTCGAATATACTAAAAGACAACGAACAAAACTTGGCATTTTCTGGCTGTTTGTTTGTCTGATCTTCAAAGACGTGATCTATTCTGGAATGCTCTATGTTTATGTTTATGTTTATGTTTATGTTTATGTTTATGTTTCGATCTATTGTTGGCTTTTCGAGTTTGTTTGCTTTGTGTTTGTATTTTGGTGCCTTTTTGTAGCTGGTTCTGGTTCTGGTTCTGGTTCATTGAACATCGTGGTTCTTTTGCATCCACTTTTTCCCGTAGTTTGCTTTATTTGAATATCACAATTTTCATCATCTGATTCTGAATCAACCAGCAAAGCTATACCTACAGTTTCAGCCTTTCAAATCTTTTGCTCAAAGCCAAAATGGAAGTTTGTATTACTTCAAAGGAAATGGTTAAGCCATCTTCCATGCAAGTTTATAATCGGAAGCCATTCTCGTTATCATTGTTAGATCAATTCGTTCCAGCACATTATATACCACTCATCTTCTTTTACAGCAAACCCAGTGATTCCCGTTTCAACACTACTGCCCAAATATTGGTCGGATTGAAGGAATCACTGTCGGAAGCCTTGAATCACTTTTACCCTCTTTCTGGTCGGACAATCGACAACCTCCGCATCGGTTCCTTCGATGACCAAGCAATAGCCACTCTGAAGTTCAGAGTGAAAAGCAAACGTCTCGAGCATCCAACTCGAGACTTGTTTTCGTACCCATCTCTATTAAATTATTTTACGTATAGTATTTTCTGGAGAGGGATGTTTATCATGGCCAAAAGATAATTGGTTTACATTGCATCAAGGTATGCACAATAATCAACCACTCTAGTCCCTTCAATCTTAACATTATGTGCACAATAATCAACCACTCTTGTCCCTTCAATCTTAACATTATGTGACTCCATGTTGGATGATGGCAACTATGACTATCTCCCACCACCTACACCATTATGCGTGCCGCATCTTTTATCTCGAATTTGCCGTTACTTTATAAAAAGGATAGATTGAAGGAAGCTGGTGAGAATAATAATCCCTTAAAATTTTTAAATATTTTTTATTTTATTTTTGTTAATAATTTATTTTCCCTAATTTTTTATATGTTTATCATTTTTAAAATTTTATAAGTTCATTCTTTAATATAAAATATTGGGTTCGTCTTAATTTATAAATCTATTTTTTTTCTCTCCATATCTAGTTTATCCCCTTCCAAGGTGATTGTGCTCTGGTAATCTTCCTCAACAATATCTAAACGTCGAAGCTAGTTTCTTTATCTTCTTCTCGTTGTCTATTGCGTGAGGCAAAAGCAAAATGTTGAGGAAAACAGTCTCCGCCATCAGATCTTGAGCTCCTTTCTTTTAAGGCACGAGCAAATTTTTTAAATTTTAAAGAGATTGAAAATAAATTATTAATGAAAATAATAAAATTATATATAAATTAAAATTTTTAAACAACGATATTCCCTACCAACCTCCCTTTGACCCATCTTTGACCACCATCCATTCATAACCATTAACAATAACAAACACCAAGTCGAGCGCAAACTAGAAACCGAAAATAGAAAAAGGTGAAGAATAATACTTATCATGGCCATCTCAAGTTATTGTTGTTCGGAGATTCCACTTGTAACCCCCAACAGTCAAAGATTGGTTTTTACATCAGAGTAAATATATGTAACATCCGCATTACCGGGTTAGTGACCAAATTGTAAAGTTTCAGAATTTGGTGACTAAAGTAGGATAATGGAATAGTTCAATGACTTCTTGGAAATATGATGAAGGTTATTCAGTAATTATTAAAGGAAATAAAGGGTAAAATGGTCATTTGATCATTTAAGAAAAAAAAAGGAATTATATACACGTGGAGAGGGAGAGAATTCTCTTCTCCTTTCTTCTTCTTCTTCACGTGGAAGCCAAGAACAAAGGTAAGTTTGATTTAGCTTATGATTTCTTGAAAGTTTTAAGTTGGATTTGAGTCTTGGAGGGTTATATAAGCTTAAGGAAAGCTTATATAAGCTTAAAACACCAAAGAGATAGAATTAGAAAGGAATTTCTATTAAGGGTTTATAAATGAACTTTTGTTATAGAAAGGTTTTTGAAGTTCTAAAGTTGGATTTGACTTGTCATCAGCTTAATTAAGAAGTATTAAGTGTTAGAATTGGATTTAGAACATATAGAAAATTTGGTATGATTCTTGAATCTCATAAAGAAGATAGGATTTTGAGGTTAAAGATGATTTACATGGATATAAGTTGGTTCAAGTTATAGTAGTTGAGTTTAATGTCAAAATAGGGGCTTAAAATAGGAGAATTAAGGGAAGAGTTGATGATTTACGTGCTAAAATGTCAGTTCTGGGCAATGTGCATCGATGCACATTCATTGTGCACCGATGCATCGATGATAAATACCAGAAATTTGTTTAAGGTGCATCGATGCACATGCAGTGCATTGATGCATGAATTTAAATAGAAAACATCGAATAGGATTTATGCATCGATGCATGGTGTAGTGCATCGATGCATACCTTCATTAAAAGATGAGATTGGATTTTCTTTGAGACTAAGGAGTGATAGTTTCGAATATATCAATCAGTATACTGATAAGTATTAATGTATTATTATGTAGATATAGAATGAAAGCTTGTTCCGGAACAAACTAAGGATTAGGATTGATTCAAACAACGAGGCCCATGTGAGTGCATATTCAATAGTATATGATGTGCGATGGGAATAAGACTTGCGATGAGTCTATTTCCTGAAGTGTTACACATGAATGCATGATTAAAGGCATGAATTGAATATGCATGTATGTATGCTTGATTATATGGATTGATCTGTTCTTTTATGTGTTAGGTGAGAAAGTATAAGTAATTACATAAGAAAGGTTATGAATTATATGAGATATAAACTATGTGATCATAGTAAAATATAACTATTATTATATGATAAGTGAAATAAGCTGGATAATATTGATCTATAGGATGAAGTGAGAATAGTACACTAACTAGGAGATTTGAACATAAATGATAAGATGAACATATAAGATAAGCTAGATGGGAAAGATTCATATGTTTAAATAAAACTATAACACAAGGGTTGTATGATAGAAATTTATGAAGTTATATGAGAAGATTATAGGAGTTATATGAAATTGAATTAAGTAAACAGATTAGATTATATATATATAAAGAAATAATAGAAGTGAGATGTGTTTATAAGTCTGCCCTAGATGAATATGAATATGAATTATAAAAGTGCTATATGATTTATATTAGGATAAATCTTGAGAATATATATTTATATAGATGGATATGAAATGAAATGAGTTATATGAATACATAATTATGTGATGAAATGGTGGATTACCTGAACATGTGAATATATATATATATATATATATATATATATATATATATATGTCTAAGAGAAGGCATAAGATTAAGATATAAGCAATGTGACTATAAGTATATATGTGCTCTAAGTGATATGACTTATAGGTATTTCTATTATAATGTTACATAATATGTTATGTATGTTAAATGAATTATGTGATGGTATAAGAAATGATATGAAATATATATGTGAAAACAAGTATATGTTATGAGATAAGACCTATGACTATAAGCTACGTGAAAGTGTTATAGGTGTTTCGATATATTATATGAAGTATATGATCTTATGTGAACAAGATCTGATAAGTATGTTTACATGAATAAAGGTGATTGGGTGAGAAATGATAGAAATTATATGAAACCATGATATATGTGACATGTGAATTATATGGAAATGATCTACGTGTAAGTGAACTACGTGACTATGTGATAATATGAAAAGAAGCTACGTGATACGTGATATGTGAAAGTGAATTTCAAATTTATGTGAATATCTGAAATGAAATAAATGATAACGCCCATGTTATGTGTCATGAGAGCTAGGGGTATAGTTGGCATGCCAAGAGTCGAGGGTCTACGCGGTCCTTCGGGATATATATATATTCTTTGGAACATGTGTGAAGTCTGGTGAGACAAATATATGATCCCTAGCATATGTATATGATTCTTAAGGAATTCTATGTGGTCCTTATGGAC